TCCCTTGGTGGAACATGCATCCTTGATGGAAAGCACCTCCCTGCCGGAGCCTACGTCCCTCCTGGAGAGTGCACCCCTTCCTGGAGCACACATCCCTTCCCAAAATGCCCATCCCTGCCAGAGCGTGCATCCCTCAGCAGAGGAAACACCCTGCCGAGCCTCCTCCTGAATGCGCTGCTGGGCTCAGCTCTTGCCACCCCAGCACCTGCCCATGGGGAGGACCAAGAGGGCCAGGGGAAGGAGAACCAGCCTCCCCCTCTCCTCTAGAGCCCAGGGCAGAGGTGGGAGCGAGCGTGCATCCCTGCTGGAGAGTGTGTCCCTTGGTGGAACATGCATCCTTGATGGAAAGCACCTCCCTGCCGGAGCCTACGTCCCTCCTGGAGAGTGCACCCCTTCCTGGAGCACACATCCCTTCCCAAAATGCCCATCCCTGCCAGAGCGTGCATCCCTCAGCAGAGGAAACACCCTGCCGAAGCATCCCTCCTGGAGCACACATCCCTACCAGAGCACACATCCTTGCTGGAGCACACATCCTGATGGAGCACACATCCCTTGCTGGAGCACTTATCCCTGATGAAGCATCCCTGATGGAGCACACATCCCTGTGGAGCACACATCTCTTGCTGGAGCACTTAATCCCTGATGGAGCATCCCTGATGGAGCACACATCCCTTGCTGGAGCAATTATCCCTGCACACATCCTGATGGAGCACACATCCCTTGCTGGAGCACTTATCCCTGATGAAGCATCCCTGATGGAGCACACATCCCTATGGAGCACACATCCCTTGCTGGAGCAATTATCCCTGATGGAGCATCCCTGATGGAGCACATCCCTTGCTGGAGCATGCACCCCTGAGGGAGCATCCCTGCTGGAGCATCCCTGCCGGAGCACACATCCCTTGCCAGAGGAAACACCCTGCCCCAAAGCATCCCTCCTGGAGCACACATCCCTACCAGAGCACACATCCCTGTGGAAGCACACATCTCTGATGGAGTGTGCATCCCTCCTGGAGCACACATCCCTCCTGGAGCACACATCCCTACCAGAGCACACATCCTTCCTGGAGCACACATCTCTGATGGAGCGTGCATCCCTCCTGGAGCACACACCCCTGCTGGAGCACACAACTCTACTGGAGTGTGCATCCCTCCTGGAGCACACATCCCTACCGGAG